AGCTCTGCGACCAGGGTGGACTCTCACTGAAGTTTGCTATCATTTCCATATCTGTATAAAATAGAAAAATATAAGGTTCTCCCCCTTCCAAAAAACACCCCCCTCTGCCATCTACAGGGGCTGAGCACAAAGTAGGGGCACAAACAACTGAGATGCAGCGCGATGGGATGCGACTGCCCTGGGTGCCGGGGTCAGAATGAGCAAAATGGGCAAGAACCACCAGGATGAGGGGAAAGTGCTTCTGATGGCTCAGGGAAAAAGCAGCATTAACAATCATTGGAAGGGACAAGGCAATCTCACGGCGTGCAGATTGCTCACGGCAGGGCAGTGGGAAGGGCTTGCATCAGCGTGTGCTCCTGCACCCCGCTCAGCCCCACAGCTGATTTACTTCTCAGCACCACAAACCACAGCTTGCTCTTCCCTCTCGCTCACGGTTTCATTACTCCCTCCAGATAATTCCAGACTTCTCAGCTGTGAGCGCAGCACCTCAGCTCCCAGCCTTTAAATCCTCAGCTCTGCTCTCACCACAGTCCTCTTCACAAATCCCCATTTGTTTCCATGCACAGAAGTTTGTAACCCCAAACATTTGGTGCAGCCATCAGCACCCACAGAGTGCCAACACCGTTTCAGCACCGAACAAAGAAGAAAACCACTCTAAGATGCTTCATTTTGGCAGCCAGGTTCTGAAGGGCATTTCAAAGACACAGGACTCACTCCAGGGGCTGCTGATGTTCAGGAGGATTTCACCACTCATGTCAGCGAGACAGAGCCGGCGTGCAGGGGGCGAGGTGACATTAAGACACTGCTGCTCACTGTGACGCCACTTGGAGCTGCTCCTGACTGTGACTTCAGGGCTCCTTTGATGAGAAAACCAGAGCTGTCTGCAGAGGGGCCACGGGCGACCTCACGACACCAAGAAATTGCAGCAGTACAAGCAGTACGTACATGTTTCAAAGCTGCTCTTTTGTTGGGCCCCACCAGCAGCTGTGGAGGGGTGTCCCGGGAGGCAGCTCAGAGTGTGGGAGCTGAGGGGTTAACCATGACCCTCCCCGGGCGCGCTCCGGCCTCAACCTCTGCACCTTTCTAACCATTTCACCCGCTTGAGATTTCTGTTTCACATTTCAATTTCCTGCAGCACAGTAAATTTATCTCTGCTGCCCAGCCAGGTTCTCTCCAGCTCTTCCCCTTATCTTTTCCCCTGTACGACTGCAAACACCACCGTTATCTTCATGTGATAAACCCAGCCACGATGCACCGCCTGCCGCCGTGCTGTGCCGAGCAGCCCCGTGCCCTCAGACCAGCACAGCACAGAGAGCCAAGCAGACAACGTGGGCTTTGCTCAGGGCATCTCACATCTCATCAGCAAATACTGGCCGTGCTGTAAGAGGCATCACAGCCACCCCCTGGATGCGCTCCACATGTGCTGCCCAGGGGCACTACTGGGGTCCCCCTGGGTGCCAAGGGATGGCAGCAAGGCTCCGGGTGCCACCAGCCCATCCCAGAGCCCGTTCCACAGCACAGGGAGAAGCTCACCCCCTCCCCTCCCCTCAGAGCACAGAAACTCAAATATCCCATCGGCGAGGGGCAGAGCGAGCATCCGGCACTGCCGTGGGAAACTTCATCCCAATAACGCCTTCATCATCCCAGGGAGAAATGGGAAAAAAAAACAACAGCAACGCCCGGCCGAACAGGTAACAAAGTCACCTTGCTGCCATCCCCGAGCGACGGCTGCAGCCCTGCCGTGAGCACGCAGCACCCCCTGGTGCCACCGCCGGCAGTGCGGGGGGCCGCGGGGACAGGGATGGACGAGGAGGCAGCGAGGCGGCTGCTGGCTTGTGAAGTCGTGCAGGGTTCGATGAAGTTCTCAGCCCGTTTCCCTTCCGCAGCAGCGGCACCCGCTCACTGCTCAGATCCGTTCCGCCTCCTCCAGCGACCCCAGGCCCCAGCTGCCCACCGCGCGGGCTGACAGCCCGACCTTCAAAGCAAATTGCTTTGCAAATGCCAGTCCGCTTAGCTTTACAACATCCGTCTCCAGTGAATTGTGCCTTGGTTTATAGATGGGGAAATCGAGGCAGGGAAAAACAAAGGGCTCAGTGGCCGCAGCAGACCAGGAACTCGGCGCTCTACCTGTGCCTTAACTACAAAGTCACCTCTCCTCATTAGCAGCTAATTAGAACCGCGGGAGGGGAAGAGACTACAGGCAGGGTGGAGAGAGGAGGAACTGGGAGAAATACAGACATCAAAACAGATCCTGTCTATTTACTCATTCATTGCTGTGTCTTAGGCTTCAAATCCTCTCACGTCTGCATTGGCCTTGTGCAATTTTGGATGCCCTCTCCCAAACCCACACAGCTAAGAGTCCCACACTGTCTCAGGAAGGAGAAAATCTGCAATTTTGGGTTAGTCTTGGGAAATCTTATTATTACTCTGCCCACTAGATTAGAAGAAGCCACTAATTTCCACTGGCCAGCCTGCTATCTCTATGGGAGCCCAGATAAGGTATCTGGAAGTTGCTTATTGAGAGCTGCCCTGCAAGCACCACACTGCATCGGGCAGCAGCGTCTGGGAGGGAGCAGAGCCCCAGGACCATCACAGGACAACACGGGGCTCAGCCAGGCCCCAGCCCCCCCACAGCTCCAGCCCTGCACATGGGACCACTGCAGGAAACAGGGAACGTGTTTTTAAACAAGAAGAGGAAACGGTGCCTTTGTGTCAGACAAGTGGAAGAAATCCAGGACCAGGAGACTGCAGAGCCTTTCCACTTCAGACAGCAGGTGCTCTCCAAGATGTGGTTATGGCAACAAAATAAATGATGGATAATTGCTTTTGTGACAACTTGCCAATTAAATTAGACTCAGCAGAATAACATAATGACAATTTGTTATGCTCTGGTGGGCACTAACACACCAATCATAATTAAATGCTATGACTGAAATAGAATGCTGCTGTACACAGGAATATATAACCCCAATTCCCTCCCAGTGAAACATTATAGGTTCAGACTTGATTTCAATTTCTGGAGGATAATAGCATTAGCGCACATCAGAATGAGCTCGCGGTGTGCACACAGGCAGCAGCACTGAGACAGCAGCAAGGACAGCCCCGGTGGGACCCCATGGACCCCACATCCCCAGCAGCAACGGGCAGCGGATGATCAGCGCCACCCCAGCCCTGCTCCAACATGCAGGGATGGGGCCAAATGTGTGTGCACACAGAGCTGGGAGAAGTGGACACCGAGAGCCTCTGTCCGTTCAGACCAGTCAGATCCCATGCCACAACAAGGCTGCCTTCACCTGGAAGGGTTTCAGCTCAAACTGTCACAACTGGAACTAAACAAGTCTCTAACAGCTTAACTAGAGCTGCATTTCCAGAACATTAACAGCCTTGCTACCTGCCCTCACGAAGCCTGGCACTGGCACGCTCAGGTTCCAGGCCCCTGGCACAGCTGCAAATTGCTCTGGCAGCTCCCAGCACCAGACTTGGCCCTGTTACACCCTTTGCTCCCTTACCCCCAACATGTTGTGGGGACAATCTGACAGCGCATAACCAGGGATGTGCTGACTGCAGAACACTGGGGAGCAGCTGAAGTGCTCATCTGTCAGCCAGGGCACTGTGGGGGGGAAGGCACCACGCACCCACACCACTTCATTTCTCCCCAGCAATTTCTCTGCAGAGCATCAGCGCAGGACACGCTTGCAAGAGGTCACTGCTCCACCAGTGCCCATCTCAGCAGTTCTGCAGAGCAGAGCCCCGACTCGAGGAGCACACAGTGGCAACGAGGCCTCCCCACAGCGCAGCTCAGCTGGGCTCACTGCTAGCACTGCTGCAACGAGCCCACTGCATGGGCAAGCACAGATGCTGCGAGGGAAGCACGAAGCTTTGAAGGAGAACTCCAGACCGCAGGCTGGGACCTGTGCTTCCTCACAGTGCCAGGAGACGCCCTCAGCTTTAGGATCTGACCTTGGGAGACCTTCAGGCTGACTGCCAGAGAGGTACAGAAGGCTCCATCCTCTCCCTCTTGCTTTCAATTGTCTCTCATTTTCGATGCCTCGAGGAGCCCCATAACCAATACTTTGGCATTTACTGTCACTTTAAAAGAGCTCTGCAATCAGAAAGGGGAACTGCTGCACACTCACCGCTCATCTTTCAGGAGGAAAGAGGTCAGCACTCCAGCTCAGGAAAGGTCACACACTGCTCTGTAATGGGGTGTAGGATTGCGAGATGGCAGAAGCTCCGCTCATTAGCGAGCTCTCCGCCACCAGCAGCCAGCTCTGCCCCGCACGCGGCACAACGTGGACGCGCGGTGCCCCACAAAGGCACGGGGCAGCGACGAGGCCACAGCGGCGGGTTTTGTACCGCGTGGAGCGGCGCGGGGCTCCGCCTGCCCTTGCCCTTCATCTGTGCCTCGTGCTCAGATCGCTCCTACGGGAAGCCGACTGCTGGGGGAAAGATTGCGCTCCTTTCCCCGCGTGCCGACCCCGGCACGAAGGCACAGCCGGCAATTCCATCACGGCCCTCCGGCCGCAGCGCGGGGCAGAACCACGGGAACAAACCCGCAGCACCAACACGAGCTCCGGCCCCGGCCCCGCTCCGTCCGGCGGCGCTGCGCGGTCCCCCCCTGGCGGACACGAACGCCCCGCGGGCGGCGGCCCCCAGCGAACCCCCCCGCAAAGCCGCTGACCTTTGGCTAACGGCGGGAAGGCAAACACTTGATAAATAATAAATAGCTCACCCCAGGCTTTTTCTCAGAGCCTTTTAATTAAAATAGCAGTTACTCTCAGGTCACGGCGATAGGAGTTTCAATCCCAGCCCAGCGAACGCATCCATCAATCGCACGGTATCAAAAAACACAACTCTGCTCTTAATCGCACCCTCTCCTAATTGCACCGAGTTCTTCAGCTCCCGCTCCCTATTACCTGCCACAGCCCGGCAGATGGAGGGCCGCAGCCCCCAGCCCCCCCGGACCCCGGCAGCAGTCCTCACCGGACACATCAACTCACCCACACCGGGTTTCTCCAGGTAATCTGCCCCCATTTCAGAGGAGCGGCACGAGGGCTGCGGTGCTTCTCCTCCACCCCCACCCCCGAAGCACAGCTGCACCACCAGGCACAAACTGCTCCGCACCACGGGCACACACAGCTGAGGACATCAGGCAGCAACCAACAGCCCACCCCAGAAGGGCTCCATCTCAAGTGCCCCCACCCAGAGAGCAGCTTCTAACGACTGCTCCGAACAAAGACTAAAGCAGAAAAACATTCCGATTTTGTTAGCATCAGCTCTGCATAGAAACCGGCTCATGGCACACTGCAAGCCACTGCCCTCTTTGGCATTCTATGTTTCTTAGACCTCCACGTGGCAAAGGATAACAGCCAACCCTTCCAAAGATGCAAGACTGAAGCTGGTGATGGCAGAGGACAGAAGAAAAGGTTCCTTCTGGCCACTTGGCACTGTTTTACAGAAGCAGTAACAACCAGGAGACCACCAAGCTGTGAGCAAAGTGAATGAGAAACCTCTCACACCATGGCACTCATCTTCATAGCACCACTTCCCATTTTAAAGAGCTTCCAGGCACAATTCAGGGCACAAGTTAGGAGCATCATCCACAGCAATAAGGCAAAGTTAGAAGTTCAGTGCACTTACCTCAGATTGAAGAGTCCCGAAGCAAAAGACGCTGAGCAGCCACAGAGGAGATGTGGAACCTTCAGCCACCAGTAACCATTTGCCCCACACAAAGAAACTGCACACAGGAAGAGAAATTCCCATCACAGCTGCCAGCACTCTACTAACGAGGGCAGCTGGCCTCAGCCCTCATGGAGGCCAAAGAACACTGAAATTTAAAGAAACCTGCACCCAAATACTTGCTGCTGAAGACTGAAGTGCACCTCCACTCCAGCTTTGTTTCAGACTGAATCCCATTGTCACTGGTTTCTTTTGTCACCACACATCAGCCTCTCTCCCACCATGGTGGCCCCCCATTTGTTCTGCTGGATCCTGGCACCGCAGCCTCTGCTCAGGGCTGCCACCCATGGCTTTAGATTCAGGCAGTCATTCACGCTCCATGTGGAAGCTCCTCGCACGGCCAGGCACACGTGCCACCACCATCAGCTCCACAATTACTGAGCAGGATCAGGAATAAATAAATAAAGTTTGACCTTCCAAGGGCAACCGAATCGTTCTACTGCAATGGCATTGCTACCAGGAGGCGAATCGTGCCATTCAAAAAGGAAAAAGAAGCAAGAAAAAAGAAAGGAACATTTTTCAACCATCCCTTTTACCTCTACTCAGTACACATTCGTAAGTGTTTGCTTGAATTACATGCAGCACCAGGGTCACAAAACCACCTTCAGGAGAACGGGTCCTGGAAGGCAGGTACAAAACCAAAAGGAAATCCTGACCTTCTCCTTTTTGGGGGAGGAGTCAGAAGTGGGAAGAGAGATTTTCCTGACATGACTTAAAACACAGTGGTTTTCTTGTTGTTGTTCCTTTTCCTTTGGCCTAAAACCAAAATTCTTAATAAAAACAAGGTGGGCAATTTACAGACGTGAGAAGAATGGAATTATAGTCAGCTCTAAACTGGGTGAGATTACTACTTCATTTTCTGTGCCAAAGTTTCAGTGACTTTCTGTAAAAGAATTCAACTTCCACTTCAGCAAAGAGTTGCAGTGGTGCATGTTCCACATTTCCAAGGTGACCAGTTTCTTAAAGACTTGCTAAAAAACTTCAAAGATCTAAATTATCTGTGGTGTTTCATCCTAACAGGAATGCAAGCAAGTGACGAAGCAGAAAGAACATATTAGAACATTCATATAAATAGCAGCTCTTCAGAATCAGCTATAAAAAGATGACACTTCTGACAGCTGTTACAATGCATCAAGTAAACAGCATCTGCCATTTCAACAGCAGGACTGTCACAACGCCTGTACCATCAGTGCCAGACAGTGCTACTGCAAATAAGACACAGGTTCCCATTTTGCAGGAAGTGTTTAATTTTCCATTCTATTTTCCATCTCAAAAGCTGAGACAACACAATTGAAAATGTCAAGGCAACGTTCCTTAAAAGAGGATCATCTCCTGCTTCCTAAGTGGGGAGACTGAAAGACAAGAACGTGTGTCACACACACCATGGCAGGGAGGCACCACAGCCAGAAGACTGAGCCATAGCCTCCTTCAGAATATTTCTTAAAGCTGTGCAGATGGAAACACTGGCTCCTGAGCAGGCGAGCAGCATGGGCACACAACGCCAAGCTGCAGGATGTGCCAAGAGCACAGCTGTTAGGATGAAGGATTTTCCTTCTGCGTTTCTCTCAGTTCTGCTGTCTGCTCCTCCTGACTTCCCCTCTTCTCCTGCAACTCTTCCAACACGGTTTGAAGTTGCAGACGCAGCGCCGAATCCCTGGCTTCCGCATCCTGATGATCCTGTTGTGCTACCTACAGTTAATGACAGATGATCACAATAAAAAAACAGGGCTGAAAAAGTTTGTCAAAGCATGACTGAAGAGAGCAACAGGAAAAGAAGAAAAAAAAAAAAAGAAAAACCTGGCAGTTGCTTGCCCAGAAAAGCTGAGAGACAAGTTGTGACTCATGCTTAGATTATTATAAAGGTACAACACAGTCTCAAAGCACCACCAAGAAGCAAGAAACTCAAAATGAGATTGCTGACCTCGAGAAAAAAGATAAAAGACAGGTACTGATCTCATCTTCCTACATGCTCATAGGACATCACACTTTAACTAGAACCAATTTCTGCTCCTTTTCAGCCTCTCTTACAGAAAAAGCACTGTGGATGCTTAGACCGAGGATGACTGGATAATGAGGAAAACGAAGGGCATATGACAACAGAAAATAACAACTGAGTTTGGCTTACTTTATCTGTTCCTCGTCTCTGCAGAATTATCCCACTGGCTAAAAGGGCTTTTCCTGTTTCTTCAAACAGGTTTTCCTCTTCGATTTTTCCTTCTTCTTTCAATTCATTATATTTCTCAACAAACCTAGATTTCAAGATTGTACTTTCACTCTCACTGAAACCATTTTGGTTTGCTGACCCAAGGGGAGACAGGGACGACTTCCAGAAATATTTGTAGTTTAATTTAAAAAACTAAAACTCTTACCTTTGGCAAGTAGATTTGTACCTCGGTTGTGATAAATCAAAGGGTTTGGGACCGCTGCCATATATTTTATAAAATTTCCTATTTAAAAACCAAAAACCAGTGTTTAAAGCAATTAAAAAGAGACACGTTTAGAAGGAAATGAACACGATCAGAGCCAGGCTACAAGAGGCCTTCACAAGACCGTCACTCCTTTTACCATTGGGCATTACCCAGCACACTCAGCATTCAGCCGCAGCGCCAAGCTCCTGCTAGCTTATCCCCCCCAGGGGCTTCGCTCAGGCCACGCGCGGCGCCTTAAGGCCGTTCCGCCTTCCGTGGCAGCCGAGCTTTCACCCGGCCCGGTGCCCGGCCGCTCCTGCGAACGCACAAGGCCGTGCGGCTCCTCCACGGCACGGCCACGCAGTAGCGGCCCCGCAGCGGCCAGGAGACGGCAGGGAAGCGACGCTCCCGCAGCGCCCCGCAGCGGCACAGCCACACGCACACCGAAGGGCCGCGCGGCCCCAACGCAGGCGGTTCCGGCCCCGGGCGGGGACTCACGCTCGCACTTCGTCCTCCCGGTAGAGGATGGGCGGCACGACGTCCGTGACCTTGCCGTAGCGCGGCCGGGGCACGCGGTACAGCGGCTCGCGGAGCGGAGGGAAGGCGGCGTACACGTCGAACCACAGCGGCTTCTCGATGACGCCGATGCGCAGCAAATTGCGGGTCCTGCGGGCGGCAGCCACGGCTCAGCGCCCACCCTCGCAGCCCACGTCCACTACGCTCGCCCTCCCGACGCCCCCCATTACCGGCTGAACACGCTCCCGGTCTTCTGCATGCGATTCCCCGCCATGGCGGCGGCCTAGGCCTCCCCTAGCAACAGTGCCACCCTAGCAACGAGCTGCCCCACTACCCGGAAGCGGAAGCGCTGTCCCGTTGGGCCGCCGACCAATCCGCTGCCAGGGCGTACTGTGGACGGGAGGCGGCGCGCAGACAGAGGCAGACGATAGCCGAGCTGCGGATCGGCCCCTCCGCCATTTAAAGGGCCAGCGCTGCTGACCCAGAGCCGGGACTGAAAGTCCTGAAATGGGTCCTAGGAGCAGCTGTTACCCCGCTGCGCTCCTAGAAAGCGTGCACGGAGGCGCTGCCCTGAAGCACCTCCAGTATCACCGTGATTCTACCACAGTTTTTAGTTCTAGGCTTCTCCCAGGCACAGTTTTTTTAAAAACACAGTTCTGAAAAAAAACTCCTGCTCACAGAGAGCAGAATTCAAGAAGTGCTGCAGCTGTTCCAGGACAGGGCAGGCCCCTCTCCACCCTGATGTCTTCTTTTCTCCCCATGTAAAATAACAGCAGCTAAAAGCAAAATGCTGCAGTGTTAAGAGTACAACAGGACTTTATTATGTGAATTACTATTAAACATTTTTAAGAAAAAAAAATCACTTATGGAAATTCTAAAAGAGCAACACTCACACACGCCACAGACTTCTTTTTTGTTGTTCTTTTTAAAACATTTCATATAGAAGTGATAGAAACGTCACTGAGAATCGTACAGCTTTATGCAAGAAATGCATTTTGGCTCCCGAGCTGGTTGTAGGGGCCTTTCTGCTCATTAGACCTGATTCACTGTCTTTTTAAAGGAGATTAAAATAGCGACTCTTCATCGTCCATTGAAACGATGTTTTGTGCCTCCAAGGTATTTTAAAATGGCCGCAGAGTGACATCACTCAGAGCTGCGCAGCACAGGGCACGTTGTTTGGAGCACATTCCCCGACCCCAAAGCAGCCACAGCCACTGGGACAGCAGCTCACAGCCCACAAGAGCGCTACTGCATCGCCTGTCTGTGCCTCATGCATGCATGAAAACTTTGCTGCAAGTTAAGCCCTTGTAGCTCAGAAGCACTGGAACGTTTACAAGCTGATCCAATTCCAAGCTTGTTTTTTTTTCCAACTACACAGCACTGCTTTGGGCTGGGAGGGAGCAGCGGTGTCCTCCCGCTATCTGAGAGCCAGCCTCAGGCTGGGGATAGCAGCCCCCAGCTCCTGCTCCAGCAGCAAAGCCACAGCTTCATGCTTGCCCCGTGCCACATGGGACACGCACCTCTCCAGATCCTGACCATACACAGAGTAGCAGTGCCTCCCCAGTACCTCCCTGCACCCCGTTCCCACCACCTAAAGTCACCTTGGGGATTAGGCCAGTGCAGCATGGCACTGCTGCAGCCCCCACTTCAAAGGGGACACCATTGCCCCTTCCTTAAAAAGGAGCAGAATCAAAGTTGGGCTCAGACTTGAGGGCAGCTTCTTGAAGGAGCTCCAACCGTGGCGCAAGCAGCCCACGGCAGCACTGATGGCAGGTGGTGTCCCTGCCTCACTCAGCCCTGCAGCAGCACTCAACAGGTGCACTGTGGCTGTGGGGAAAAACGTTGGCATCCACTTCAAAGGGGATGCAGGGAGGATTTGGGAGGAGCCCGCCAGGAGCCAGAGCAATGTGGGCTTTGTTAGCAATCCCACAGAGAGGCAGGGACAGCAGTTGCGTGCGTGTCTGGTGGATGAGATTCTGCATCTGCCACCTTCGCAGCACAAATCTTAAAACATTTGTGCTGGTTCACAGGAGCCAGAAAGCAGAACAGGCATGTCTGCAGCCACCTCCTGACTGAGCAGTAAACAGATTATGCTGATCAAGAAGAAGAAAATGTGCTGGCGGGAGCGAATTCTGACTTAGTGCTCGTCACTCGTTACTTACACAAGGAAGGAATTTGTTTACATAATTATTTTTAGCCTGACAGCATCTCAGGATGCTGCAGAGATCCAAGCGCTGCTTCCCAGCTCCCCCTGCGCTCTCCTGGAAAAACGATCCCCAAGGCTTGGAGAGCTTCTCCTGCCCCACACCGGCTCATTGTATCAAAAACATCTTCGCCAGCCCCAGCTGCAAACCCCAAATCTCCACCTCATCAATGGCAAGGGATGTCCCTGCCCGGCCCCAGAAACACTACTGGAGCACTGCACCCAACAGGACATGTCCTGGCCCGGCCGCTGCACCAGTGCAGATCCAGCCCTTGGTGCTGCCCCACAGGGAGCAAGGCAGTGAGGGTCCGACTTCAAGGCAGTTTGAGCGATGCCAAAGGCAAAGGTTTAATGCAAAGGGAAATGCCTTGGAAAAGAAGGCCTTTCCTTTTATAAACAACTTATATTATTTCACTATTACCTGATCTGAATCTCTGCTTATTACTCCTAGCAATAGTAGACGACAGTTTTTAGTTTCTTTCTTGTGTTTTCTTTTCCTGCGTGCGCAGAGGAAAATTACATCAGATCACCACAGATATGCACAGGGTTGCTCTGCTAGGCAGCTCCCGCAGCCGGGGCATCCCCTCAGCACAGCCCATGTGCACTCTTCTGGCAGAACTCTGTGGATCCCACGCGCAGGAGGGACGGCTCCTCCCTGAGTCCCAGACCCACCAGCTCCAATGCCACAGCTCACACCAGCTGCCAGCTGTTTCCTTTCCTTTTTTTTTTGGCTGATTTGCTAGATAGGAGAAGTTGTTTTCAAACCTCTGAAAAGAAAACTGCCTCACTTCAACGTTTGTACTTCAGAGGAGTACAAGAGCAGAGGGGGAACAGCCAAAAAATTGGGTTATTTGTCGTTGGGTGTTTGTTTTCCTTTTTTCAGCCATCTTCTTATTAAGCCCTTTGCACATTCTGTGCCAGCAATAAACCCCAGCGCTGGGACCTGGAGGGGAGGAGACCAGGAGGAGGAAGAACAGTGTGTGCTCAGCCTCAGCTGCACCACGGCCAGCACTGTCCCATCACGGCGCTGGAGCTGTCACCAGCCACAGCACCACAGCCCTCACCATTTACTGCCCTTCCTTCAGCGTCTCCTCCTCTTCCCGGAGCTGCTGCCGCCGTGCTTGAAAATCTTCATCTGAAAGGAAGAGGCAGACGAGTCAGGGTCTACAATTACCCCACATGTGATGCCAGGCCCATACCAGCAAGGTGGCACAGTCTGGCATGGCACGGCACAACATGGCACAACTCAGGATGGCACAGCACAGAGTGGCACAGCCTTTCTTACCGCACGAGTGTCCTTCGACGTCATCAAGAAGATTTGCTGTGGATGCAGCTGTCCCCAGCCTGCATGCTCTGCTAAGGAAAACCAGGGCATGGTCACAGCACCAAAACCGCTCCTCACAGCCCACAGATGTGGGGGCACCTGGGGATGCTCCTCTCCAAACTGCAGCCTCACAGAGTCCCCAGGACCACCCACATTCCCCCAGCAGTCCCAGCTACCAGGGGCAAATGACAACAAGGCCCTTTTAGGATACACCTGGTGCTTCAACAAGTGTTTTCTTTTTGACTTCCTCATCTTTGTCTTCTCAGAGAAGGCTCTGGCGAGTTCAAACAGCTTCTTGCGCGTTGCTGGAAGGAAACAGGCCAGTGAGGGTCTCACCACAAACTCTCCAAAGAGCTGCCAGGGGTGCTGGGGAGGAGACAGCTATGGGCAAGAGCCACTGGTGCCAGAAGCAGCCACTGTGGTGCTGGGCACCAAGAACCAGGTCCTGCCACTAGCAGAGATACAAGAGGCCCCAGGCCAGAGGTGCTGGTGTTTCTATCCTTTCATTGGGACTTCTGTGGTATTCCCTCCTCATGTCTACCCCAGGCCACCCCGGTGGGTCTTGGCCAGCTGCAGTCTGAGTCAGGCCACCCAAAGAACTTGGGTTTGTTTTGCAATGGGAGAAGCAACTGTGGCAGGCTTAAGAGGAAAGGGAGAGCTATAGCAAACTCCTCTGCTTCCTCTTCTGGGATTCCCAACGCCATCTGTATCATCAACACACACCACAAAATATCTACGCGCTCCTCTAGTCCACCATGGGCTTCCTGCTGCCAGACTGGAGCCTGGAAACCAACTCACATTTTCCCATGTGTTTCAGTTTGTCTCTGAATAAGGCATCGTCAGACACAGCACTGCCAGCCTCGCTGGTTCCAGGAGTGGCTACATCACCTGGAAGGCAAACATTTGGGCACCATCAGCACATCTGGTCACTGGCAGAGCTAAGTAACAGTGAGCAGGAAAAGGGCACAGCACTCCGCACCCGATTCTGGGTGACAAAACCCCTCTGAGATCTGGGGTGCAGAAACCCTGGGGGCAGTGACCCCAACTTGCAGCTGAGTGGCTGCATCTTGCCCATCCCAGCCCCACTCAGGGACATGGACAGCTACCAGTGCTAATTCTGTCCCCAGGCAGCTGCCTCACTGCTGAGGTTAATCAGGATTACTTGGAACAGTCATTACGTCTCCCAGACACAATCCTCTGTTCCCATCAAGACAGAGGGCTTTGTCACCCCTGGGAACTGGGCCCAGGGGAAGAACAGAGCCAGGACATGGCTGGGTGGGGAGGGCACGGGCACCCAGCTCCGTCACCTGTCTGCCCCACTGCCATGTGCTTTTAGGAGCTCTGTGCAGTAGGGAGGGAACAGCTGGGTTCCTCCCCAGGCAGATACATCACAGGGCATGGCACATTGGGTGGAGCTTTGGAGCATTCCCCTGATGACAGGAGATACTCTTGTGCACCTTGAAATTACCTGGTATTATGGAGGAGAAACAGAAATCATTGCTGACAGCAGCACTGGTCGACTTGGATTTTTTTGACTCGTATTTTAGTCGATCTGTAAAAACAAAAAGCCCTGTAAGACTCTCGAGGCAGCACACACAGCTTCATGCTCCTTGTCTGTACATGCCCACTGCACTCAGTCCCTGCAGCAGCAAACGGACAAGATCTGCCACACCCCAAGGATGTCAAACATCTCCACACCACGGCTGGGAGCGGTGGGAGCAAGCAGGCAGCCTCCCCCAAGCACCACCACTGCTGCAACACAGCGACCGCAGGCACTCTGTGGGAGCCCACAACGGAGGAAGTGAGCGCCCGCCAAAACGTGGTGGTTTTCCAGCTGCAGCGGATGGGGATGAGGTTGACACACCGCAGCAGGAGCAGCGTCCCAGAGTGGGGCACACGCCTGAAAAGCAGACAGAGGTTCCTAAAGGTGCTTCTCACCTCTCTCCAGGGCAAGGAGGAAGTCCCGGTTCCTTTGCAGCTCCTTCATGAACTCCTCGTTCTGCAGGAAGAGCGCAATCCGCTCGTCCTCCAGGTACTGCTTCCACCTCCTCTCCTGCTCCAGGGAGCCCTGGCCCCGTGGCACAGGCTGCCGGCATCCAGAGGAGCCCTGTGCAAGAGGAAACACGAGCAGAAAGGTTGGTCCATGGCCACAGCACAAAGCTGCTGGACACCAACACCAGGCAGAGCCAGGGGGACACCTCTGCATGGGAGCACAGCCCCTGATGTGGGAATCAGCTCTTTTTCAGATAAGCATAGAGTTGAAGCAAGACGTGAAAGTGAAGGAGAAAGGTCCTGCAGCCAGCATCACTGCTTTAATTTTGCCCAACTAAAAGGAAAAGACTGCGATTTCCTACTAGCAGTGCACCGGTGCTCACGCTCTCTCTCACCCTCCCCAGCTCCCACTGCATCCATACATGTGGAAGAGCAGAGCCACACTGCACAGGATCAATCTCTCCCTTGCCTACAGTATCTATCTACAATATCTACTGCTGCTCTCAAAGTGCCATAAAAAGCAAAAGCACACAATTACCAGAGAAGAGAAGGGCAGCTGCTTCTCTCTCCCCTGAGCCCCAGTGAAATGCTATGTTTCTATTCCCAGAAAGGTATTATAGCCTGAGAAGCTCAACTTTCAGGCAAGTATATATGGCAACATAGCAGACTGCCTTCAGCACCAAAAAGGGCTGGGAAAAGATGATGCATCTGCAGACCTCCCCAGGCCACTGACAAACTAGGAGGGCACCAGCCCTATTGCAGGGGTGCAAAATGGCCATGGGACGCCCAGGGGATGCGGAGCAGCCAAAGCTGAGCTGAGCCCACTGAGGCTGTGCTTGGACCCCACAGGGTGTTGTGGTACCAGCCCCAAAACTGCCAAGGAGAGTACGAGTACCCCGATTTCCAATGTGTACATGAGGATTTTGTACCTTACATACATAGTATCCAATGAGCATAAGGCCTCAATGCTCTGCCCAAGAGCACTGGCTGGTCCTAGTGTTTCCCAGCAGAGCAACAGAGCTGATTTTCAAAGTGATCAGAAGTAACCCACGACTCTTGGTCGTGCCACAGGGGCTCAGGGTTGGTGCTCACCTGTGTGCAGGCAGCTTGCTGGGGTAGGATGCGCAGGAAGTCCTCAGGCAGGTTGCCCAGCAGCGGTGGGTTCCAGTTCCTGTAGCGGCCAGGCCCCGGCACATCCGTCCTGCCGTGAGCACAGCCAGAGACTTCAGCCAGAGGGAACTCAAACGCTGCTGACAGGGACCCGTGTCAGCAGCCACCTGCCCAGCTCCCCAGGTGTTGTCCAGAGGCTGGAAAATCTCACTGTGCCTAGCTATCTTCCAAACCCACAGCCCTTCCCTGCCACAGGCACGAGGGCTCCTGGTGCCAAGAGACAAGAGGTGTCAGGCCCCAGCCACACAGCACCTGGTGTTCTCCAGAGGCAGCAAGCACTCCTGCATCCAGAAGCTGATTTTTGCCATTCTACTTGCTTCATGGGCAGCCCTCTTGCCCCCTCAGCTATTCATGTTTTAGGGCCATTTTTTATCCAGCTGCGAGCTTCCTTCATCTCCCTTGACTTCGCACTAATGCACACGCAGCAGACTCACCTGGGTGGGGGGGTGGGAGGTGCATGTGGACAGCTCAGCATCTGGCTCTCATAGGCTGGGGGGGAGTATACTGGGGGAGGCTCCTCATCCGAGCTGTCTGGCTCCAGGGTGCGCTCAAGGATCTGGGGAGAGAGGAGGAGAGGGTGAGGGTGAGCTGAGCAGTGCTGCAGGCAGGATGGGGCCGACATGCACTGGGGAGATTTGGGGCACTGTTCTGTAGGGAAGAGGCACTGCATTTTGGTATAGTGAGGCAGGAGCTAAAGACCTTCTATTGGTTTTGGGGAAGAAAGGAGGGAGGAGAGTGGTTTGACTCAAGCCTCAAGCTCTGACAGAGGCCAACTGCCAGGCTGCATGCTACAAACTGGCCAAGTCAGCATTAAAATGGTTGTCAAGAGGCACCCACGTCAGCCACAAAGTGCAGCTGCAGGCCTGCAAGGACACCAGCTCCAATGTCCTTCCGTTACACCCAGTCATGCAGGGGGCAAAAATGAGACAGAATGAGCCCAGGCCAGACACAGCAGTACCTCAGGGGGAATGCTGTCCTCCGAGTCCGAGCTGTCCTCACAGCCGCTGCCGTCCAGGTTCATCTGGAGGAGCTGGTCGATGGTGGCATCCACGGCACCGTTGTTGGCCCTCAAAACGCACTCGATGATGTCGTAGTCCATATTGGGGAACATGGTCTTGAAGTCCTCCATGGCCTGGTTGAACTCCAGCCGGCGCACCTGCCTGGCAGGGCGGCTGTTGTTGAGCTCCTGCGCCGAGGAGCCGCCGCGCGAGCCGCCATTGCTGCTGCTGCGCCGAAAGAGGCTCGTCATGGCGGCGGTCCTGGTGAGGGGGGCACCTCGTCACGGGGCGAGGCCCCGGCTGCCGGCCGGGAGCATGGGTGGGCGGCGGGGGCACTGCTCCCCACAGCCAGAGCTCCACGCGTCAGCCCCCGGCACGCTGCAGCATCCCAGCACCTGCGGGCACAGAGAGATGTCAAAAGTTACCTCTGGTGAGACGCGGGGCCCCAAGAGTGGGGGCGGCTTCGAGCTCCCCAGAGCCAGGACCAGCGGCTGGACTGAAGCACGAGGCACATTTTTGGCAGCCACCTTCGTATAAAGCCCACCTCAGAAACCCTCCTTGTGGTATTTTTTGCTTTGTTGGAGTGAGGAGTGGGATTTACAATCTTGTCCTTTTGTGGTCCTGCCCTACTTGCTCAGCCCCAGCGCATGGCCAGGAAGCTGCAGGCAGGGGCTGCACGAGGGCACTGTCGGTGTGGAGAAAGCACCCAGGGCACAGCAAGATCTCAGAGGGGGAAATTCAATTCAACTGAAACTATTCAACTGCACCCCCATTTGCACGGCATGTCCCCCAGGAGGGCATCCAGGAGCTCGGGTCACTGTGCCAGGCGCCGCACAAACCAAACACTGCAAGGGGAGAAAAATAGCACCACTTGCACTGCAGAGGGCCCCACAGATTGAACATTCCCAGGTTTGACGTTTGTTTATAAACACAGTGAAATCCCTCTTTAAAATAAAAGGTGGAGTCATCTCAGTGCAGGGGGCTAAAGCATTTTGCAGCACAGCAAATCGACCCTTGGGAAAAGCCACCAAATCCAAGATTAACATTCGCTTTAAAACCATAAACAGATTATATACAGCTACTGCCTCTCATTTGGAAACGCAGGGACAAATTCAGTTCTGGATTAACTCCGCCGTTTAAAAAGAATTACCCCAGGAACACTTTTGATCCGCAATATCATTTTCAAAGGCTTTTTTCCCAAGTAGCAGGCGAACAGTTCAAGATAACTGTCCCTACATTTGTACTTAATTGAGAAGAACAAACCAAGCACATTTCGTAGTAACACACTGCATAATCAGATTGAAACCCATTAAGCAGAGCGGCCGCCTCTGAAGGTCACCCGGTGCCCCACACCCTATGCAGGGGCCGTGCTGCACGTGGGAGCCCAGCCCTGGGGATCACCAGGAAGCACCTCATCCCAGCCCTGTCGGTCAGGCTTTGCTCTGGCATGCTGGGAGCAGTTATGAGGCTCTGGGCAACTCAGTTACACTGAACCCATGCCAGATAGCGTGACTGGGAGCAGCTGCCTGCAGAATAATTGAAAGCTTCTGGTCCTAAGATGAAAAAAAATGAGGGATGGTGACATTTGAACACCAAAAAGGCTCTGCTGCACGTCTGGCTCTGAGCAACACCGAGGGACTGCACCGTGAAGACATCCTGTTGATGATGTGGAGAAATGAAAAGCACTACATAATCACGAGTTAAAATCTGGAGAAAAGCTGGTCACCTATTGGCACGACTTAACTAAGAAGTTCCATGCCCAGGATCCTCCTCTGTCCCTGTGCTCTGAGTGGGAAGCAGAATCCCCACTGCTGGTTGCTGCCTCGATGCCAGCGAACGGCTGGGAGGGTGCCAAGAAAAGCAAAATCCTTCGGATTGCCCAAAAAGGAAGGAAGAAAGCTGGCAGCCAACCGTGACCTGAGGCGAGGGCAGAGCCCAAAACCTTGCAGAACCGACCTGTGGCGTGGGCTGCTGTCTGCAGGCTCACCTCTGTAGGCTGCAGGCGCAGCACGCAGACGGCCATGCCCACAGAGCACCCACAGCACCCACAGCCACGCTGCTCCAGGCACAGGACTGGCACAGCCGGGTGATCCCAGGGGCCGGGCACTCCACAGCTCCATGCTGGGAACAGCAGTTGTTCAGCTCTGCTGAAAGCAGTCCTGGTCAAGGAGCCAACAGCTGTAACAGCAGCGGGACCGACTGCTCCCAGCCCTCACAGCTCAGGGAAAAGCCTTGGCACCAATGGAAGAGGAATGTTCTTTCCCAATGTCTGCTGTGGCTCAGACAACAGATGGGGTTGTTTAAAGGCAGCTGAACAGGAACAGCCCCTTTTCTCCTGCTATTGCCATGCTGTGTTCGTAGGCTGTCCCCACTCAGAGCTTGGGAGGGAAAACTCTCAGAGTAAGACTCAAAGTGGAGGCATTAAGCCAAAAATCACTGCTTCAGCCCCAGGGCTCTGTCTTCAGCCAGGCCCCTCAAAGAGACTATGCTGCAACGGATCTCAGAGCTCAGGGACTGCTTGGTGGTGGAGGTGTCTGCCCAGCACTGACTGTAATAGGATTAAAACCAGGATGAAAAGGAAATGATTAGGAACAAAAATTAGTGTGTACCAGCACATTGAAATTCAGAGCACACCCCGGGGACGTGCAGGATGTGTCTGCCTTAAGTCTCCAAAATCTCCTCCGTCACCTTTCTGTTCTCTCCAGCAGCCACACACACACCTCCAGGTCTGTGCCTGCGCTCTGATCCTTTCACACAGAAACAGGCAGGAATACGAGCTGCATCTGAGGGTCTGCCTGTGGCACAGACACACTGTGACAACCTTGCTGAGGACACAGGTGGGTTTGGACATGGGCACTCGTCCAGCAGCTCTGCTGCCCTCCTTGAGATGCCAGAGTCCCAGATCGGGGTTTCCCTGTGGCTAATCCCAGATTTTGTGTGCATTTGCCATGCTACAATTACAGCCCCCACCCTTCCAAATGAGGCTTGTATTAATGAGCTAGTGCCAGATCTTAATCAAAAACCTGCCTGCCTGGTGAGGCTGCCTTGCACCGGATTCATTGGAGGTAATTTGATCTTGGTAGGACGACATTCCTAAAATAGTTGAGGGAATTCGAACATGAAATCAGGTTTCCAGGAAGGGATTAAAGAAAAATAGGTCAAGCAAGTGTGAGCAATGAAAGTAACCCTGTATCCCTCCGTATGGGTTAAACACATCTCTGTTCAAATCTGTCTGGTGTCAACGTGTCATAAATTAGAAGCAAGAGGCTGCCGAAAGCAGAGGGGCAGATAGAAGGTTTTCCTGTGGGGTTGGCTGAGCTGCTGTGACCTTTCCTCCTCCAGCTTTCACTGCTGACATCAAAATGCATTGGTCCCAGCTGGGAGATCGGCGTGTGCTGGAGCCGGGCTTAAAGGTGGCAGCAGGCCATGCAGGGACATGCCCCAGGTCAGCGCTGCTCTAAGCTGCACTGCTAGTTTGCTTTGCTGCACAAGCATTGGTGACCTCAGCTGCTCCTGTGCTGTCCGAGCACTGTGACCAGTGCCCCTGGATCACACGCATGCAGAGGTGCCAGAGCCAAGCTCAAGCTCAGAGCCCCTTTCCAGCCCTCCACTTGCCTCAGTTTACCCATCTGCAAGCAGCACAAGGTGCCAGCCAGCCCTGCAGCGCTCTGGGGCTGCTCATGGACACACTGCTGGTGCCAACACTGCACTGCAGGCAGTCCCATCCTGCAGAGCCCTCACGCCATATGGCGCACAGCCCCGTCCTCAGCCACTTATCCCTCCCTTTGTGCTCCTGGCTCAGCACAAACCCTTGCACAAAAGCAGTGGGGACAACTGCAGAGAGCAAAGGAAAGATAAATTCTTGCAGAGACAAAGGTGCTCAGCCGTGGCAGTTTGGGAGCAGGTTTTGTCAGTCTGCACCTCACTGCTTCCAGGCTCGCACAGGAGCTCAGCGGGAAGAAAAACAACGGTTTGGGGCAGGCAGGCGCTCAGGGCCTGACCGGTGCCAGCTCCATGACACCGTGGTGCCGCAGGGCCTCCGGTCCCCGAGATCTAAGGGCCATCACTCAATGCACAAAGGAACAAAAATGGGTATTGATTCGCCGAAGGCTGCGTGGAGCAGAAGGAGCGCAGAAGTTTCTATGGAAACAAAATGAGTGGAGTGAAACTCTCACTCATGGGCACGGTAAATTATTTACCAGGACAGGCCCTTGTCCATTAGGATCTGGTAAAAAGATTTAGAAGCGGTCATTACGCAGGCTGCTCGCAGCCACCTCGGTCAGGTCACCGAGATCACGGCCACCGAAGAGGGCAGACGCAGGGTGGATGAAACCCACTGCTGCAGCTTGAGGGCAGCTCAGAGCCCTGTCCCAGAGCAGAGCACTGCAGGCAGAAAGGATTAATTAAGCAGCAAGCAGGAGCTCCTGGGTTTATGAGTCACTAAGCCATACGACCAGTGGAAGCCCTGCAAAAGCACCAAGCTGACAATCTGGGCACTGCTGTGCCCTTGTTGTGCTGGGACACGGCGTCACAGCACAACCGTGCTGTTCTGTCTTCCCTTGTGCCAGGTGACACTGCTCAACAGAGGAGAACCTGCCTGGAATGCTACACCTCGCCTGGGAGCGACGGCAAATTACTGACATGGCTGCCCTCCCCTGCAAGAACACCAGGAAGGTTTCCCAAGGACCCTCCAGCACACTGTGTCTGCAGCAGGGGGAGATAAAAGCCCTTGAAAGCCACAAGATCATGTTCGCTGCACAACTTCTGCCCCACTGCAGTACATCGGATTTGACACAGGAATGATACGGATCCAGAAGCCAGGACAGCGCCCTGAGGGTTGCTCAGATCCAGCTGCCAGTGGCACACGGGCCATGTGCTCCAGCAGCACACTCTGCCAAGCCACCAAACTAGGGCGCGCTCCTCTTCCAAGCCCAGTCTCACTTCTACTTTGTTATTTTTAAGTTTGCATAATTAATTCACGCATAGCTCCGTCACTGCGCTGTCCCAGTTGCTTTGGGCTCATCTGACAGCTGCAGTTATCAGCCAGCGAAGCTAAAAGTAGCGAGGATTTTATAAGCAGTGGTTTAGGACAAGCTAGAACACTCCATCAGCACAAGAGGATTAGCGTGGCGCTGCAGCTGTGCCGTCCGTCTGTCTGCCCCCAGCAGAGCTGTAAGCCCTCACAGCACCCCAGAGCTCCACATCCCCTCTCCAACACCATTCTCATTCCTTCCCAAGCACAGGGAGCCTGGACTTGTCCCCATGTCCCAGCCCCTCCAGCAAGACCCCACTCCGGTACCTTGCAGCACTCCCGCTGAGCTCCGGACCTCCTGCACACGCTGTCCTCGTGCCAGAGCTCCACTGCCGCCTGGAAACAGAGAGGGAGAGAAAAAACACTGTTAGAATGGGCTCTGTAGCTGAGTCAAACACTAAGATCAGGTCAGGGTTGGAACATCACAGCAAGTGAGCCTCAGGTGTGCCCTGCTCCATTTTCTGTAGACAATCCACTCTTTTTCCCTCACTACCCTACTACTGCCCCAAGAATGTAGGTGAGGGGAGGGATGGTCGAGATGTCAGGAGAAGGAAGAAATGCCACCTCCAGGATCTGGAGCTCATTTTCCAGCAATTCAATGGAACAGGGCTGGGAGGAAGCACAGGGTGTCAGAGAGACTTGGGAGTACAGGCAGGCACCCATGGGGCCAAGTGCTGGGTGAACTCCTTCAGGGCAAAGGAAGCAGCTCCATTTGTGTAAAATACCTCCAGATGTCGACAAAATCCACCCTGTCTGGAGCCAGACAGGAGAGCAGTGCCATTCACAGCTGAACACACTGTGGGACTGTCACCAATGCCAACGAGGGCAGCTCCCAGGGTCAGTCCCACAGATGCCAAAACCTCCACGGTGCCCCAGCAGCTCCCAGCCCAGCAGCATGACAGGCTATGGAGCAGCCTAGGTGGGAGCAGCAGCTCCGCACAGCACCCTGCCCATGCATCCTGCCTGCAGCACGGACATGGCAGCATGGCACTGGGAAGCCACCAGGGCTTCACCCTTCCTGCTGGCTTGGATTTTAAGACACTTGTTTGTTTGTTTGTCGCTGGGCAACCAAGAGAGGATGGAAAAAAAAAATCAATATCACATTGTCACCTATGAGTCACTGCTCCCAGCTGCTGAAATGCCCCATTCTTCCCCCAAGATGCTGGGGAAGCCTTGAGGAAAGGGGAGAAAAGCCCCAGGTGCCCCACGGCCACCAGCACTACCCCCAGACCTGAGCCCCATCCTCCTCCTGGTGCCCACAGGCAGGGACACTGGCTGGTGGCCCCGGGGTGAAGGCAGGGAAGGAATTTGCATTCATATTTGCATTTCCTAATTGCACCTCCGGGTTTCCTGGGACAGCGGCCGGGTTTGGTTTCCATGGCAGGTTTTGTGCAGGCTAGGAGAACTGAGGAGGGCACAAAGGGGCCACAATGGACCTGCCACTCACCAGCATCAAAGGCACCGGGGAGGGGGCACCACCACGTCTCCCCAGCACTGCCAGAGCCAGACCACAGAGCCCTGGAGTGGGCAGTGCTTGGAGGACAGCAATGGCTTTGGCACCGACCACAGCTGCTTGGGTCGTTAGTTTCTGGGCTTTTTTAAAGGTTGATGGTTTCAAGGAAAGGCTCTGCAGGGCCTCCTGGCACCTCTTAGTCCATTCCCAAAATGAGAAGTTAATCAAAAGCCTTGTTTTAACATTTTCCAGTTGAAAAGTCAGTGCATTTTGGTGGTTAATACGTGCGTCAGGAACAGCTAACAGCACGGATGTTCAAAAGAAGCTTTAAAAAAAAAAGCAGTTTGAAATTTAAACAAAGTGTCTCAACTGACCAGATCCCAAGTTTCTCAAGTTACACCACACCAAATGAATGGCTGAATAAATAAATTGTCGGTTGACCTTCTGTCCTGACTGTACGTGGAACTCAGCCCAGCAGCAGCCGTCTTCACACCAGCAGCCACTCAGGGTCCATACCAGCAAAGCACCCACAGCAGGTGAGGGAGTGGCAAGGGGGATTTGCTCTGTAGTACTTGAGAGTTGCAGTGTCGCAGATCCACAGGGCTGAACAAGGCACAGCTCAGCACAGCTCAGCACAGCAGCCCCACTCCTGCTCCCAAGGAGCAGCCAGAGGGAAAGGGCAGGAGCAGCCTCACGGCATGCTGTGCTTGACAGTCCTTCAGCAGGAAATCCAGGGGCAAGGAACCGTTTGGAGCAGTTTGGTAATGCCTTTTTTAAGTTCCCCATGACCACTGCCATTTGATCACTCTGTTCTCACAAGCTTTTACCCCTCGTGCCATGGGCACCAACAAAAGCTGCCACATCCCTGTCACAGCCAGATCACATGCACCAAAATCTGACTTAATCCTAACTTGCAGATACCTGAGATGATGGAATAGGAAGGCTCTGAGCTCCAAGTAACAGGCAAACCAGGACAAACAGCCACCAAAAGCAGCCTGAGTCACAGCATTGCCGCTCATGCCCACAAGCACCCATTGATATCAATAGCACACACAACCCAAAGCGGAAGACAGCAGCACACAGCTCCTACCCTGAGACTTCGTCCTCATGGCAACAAACTGAGTACAAGCCACCTTCCAGCTCTCCTCCCAGCCTTTCCTGTCCAAACAGGGCTGTCTGCCACATACAGCATCCCTGTTATCTTTACTTGCACAACATGCTTTGGTGCAGGCTGATAAGAGCTCGCTATCATTGGGGGACGCCACACATCACTGCACACCCCCACCAGCCCCACGGTGCCCAAGCACACGGCCTGGAGCCCTGCAAAGGAAAACCCCACACCGTGACACCACAGATCCAGCTGGGTGCTGGTGTCTGGGTGAGGGGCTGTTCAAGATGAGTGTGATGGAGGAGGCAAGGAGCAGAAGGCTTCTCTGGGTGCCATGTGCCCCTGGGTACCCCCACCAGGCATCCCCAAACTGGGGGTCAGTCCAGGACAGCTGGGTTTCCTCACAGACATTGTCACCCCCACATTTATTTTCAGTGGCAGCAGCGGGAGGAGGTATGAGGAGGAGGTGCGACTGCTGCTTTTTTAAAAATAATAAAAAGGAATCTTCCAAACTGCCTGAGGAGGCTGACAACTCTCCAGTGCTGCTTTGAAGTGGTGATTTCCAGGGGCGAGGCAGCTCTGGCTCTTTTCTATTGCTGTTCGCACACTTCACGGGGAGCCCCGGGGGCACACGGAGCCCCAGAAACCTCCATCCCCGCCCGGAGGGGCAGCTCAGGACTCAGCCCGAGGGCCACAAACAGCTCCAAGACCACCGGCACATCGGTGCTCGCAGGGCCTGACACACCTCCCGCGTTAAGCTCTTCGATCCATCCCCAACAGCGACGTCCGGGGTTGAAGCGCATCGCTCTGTTAACGGGGAGCGGGGGCACGGGACGGCGTCCGCGCACGGGGCCGCCAGAGCCCGCGGGAAAGCACCGCGGCATCGCCCCAGGGCAGGCACCCCACGCCGGGGCAGCACCGCAGGCCGCCCGGCCGCTCCGGGCAGGGCCCGCCGTGCCGCTCCTCGCAGGGCTCTCCCGATGCGGGACGGCCGAGATGCCCGAGGGGCGCAGCCCGGCAACGGGACGGCCGCTCCGCGCAGCGAGCGGTCGGGGCCCGGCCGCGGTGCGGGCCGCCGGAAGGAGGCTCTCCCCGGGGCCGGGCCTCCGCCGCCGGAGCCCCCCGCGGCTTCAGCCCGCGCTGGGCCGTTCCCGCCGCTCCGCTCCCCGCGGCCCGGCTCCGGCCGGCCGCCCCCGAGAAGCCGCGCCCGGGCCCCGCGGACGCCGAACCGGCGGCCCCGTCCCTCGCCTCCCGCGGGCTCGGCGGAGCCGGGGGCAGCTGGCGGCGGGCGGGCTGGCCCTCCTCGGGGCCGCGGACCTTCCCGCTCCCGCCCGGCCCCGCCGAGGCTCCGCGCCACGGCCCGCACAGGCCGGGAGGCACCGCCCGCCCCACTCGGCCCGACCGCGGAGCACAAAGAGCCGAGCCCTGCCCGGCCCGGCCCGCCCCCCTTACCGGCGCTGCGGGGGCGGCGGCAGGCGCGGACCACGCCGGGAACCATGGAAAGAAGCCGGGACGGGAGACGGACGTGGCTGGCGGGCGGGCGGGGCGGGGGCGTTCGCCGTGCCCGGCAGCTGGGGGCGGCGCGGCGGGGCCGGGGCGGCTCGTGGGGGGGGGGGGCGCGGGGCCTAGCGGCGGCCCGGCCGAAACGCAACCGTGGCTCCCGGGACCCCTCCGACTCCGGGGCGCGGCACCGCCTCCCCCGGCGCAGAACCCCGCGGCCCTTTCTGCCCGCCCGGGGCGTCGAGGGCGCGGCGCCGCCCGATCCGCGCAGGCCTCGGTGCGGGCCCCGCCGCGCCCGGCGGTTCGGCTGCGGGAGCGGCACCGTCTGCGTGCGGGCTGCCGGCCCCCGCCGCTGCTCTCGGGCCGTTCTGCATCCGCAGGGCGGCACGGATCCCGGCTTCCAGGCCGCAGTGCCCCCACGAAGACGAGACGGCGCTCCTGCCCCGAGGGCTGCACATGAGATACGGATTATAACAAAGCATCACTTCAACCACAAACAGAAAGCAGCCGCCTCCGAGATCCATTGCTACAGCATCTGACAGCTTGCAGCCATACCACATAACAGCTTAGGACAGGAAGCGATCTCCTCTTACAAATTACAGGAGTGAATTTACATGGGGCAAACGCTTTCCGTTTTGTAGAGACCAGGGTGAGACCGCGAAGGCAGCGGCTGAGCACCTCGCAGCTCTCCGAACCCTTCCCGACGTGCTGGCGTTTCCCAGAGGGAGGAAAGCTGTGCCTCCCAGGGCACCCGCCAGGGTCGGGGTCAGCCAGAGCAGCAGGGAGCACGGCTGGGATGCTGGACCCTAACGTGCGTTTGGGATGGTCCAAGGATCTTGTAGCTCAGCCCTCTGTGCAGAGGTTTTTCTCCCACTCAGTCATTTTATCTGCGTCTGGCAGCTCAGCAATCCTTTGCCTGTGTAAAAATCTGCAAGGCTTTGACAGCGAACACAGCAGTGAGAGCAAAAACATTAGAGGCAAATCTTTGGCTTTCAGTGAGTCAAGTACATATGCCATAACATTTGCCTCCCCAAAGTTAAATACAGATCGGTGCATCCTCAGTGCCTTGCAGCGAGCTTTGTGACTGAAATATCTTTTTCAAATCCAGCCTCGCTTCAGAGGAAACAGGCGATCAAATTTCTTTGCTGTCCTTTGATACGGATCCTTGCTGCAAATGACACTAGCAAGGAAGAAGAAATGGGAAAAGATATGCACAACTATTAAGAAATAAAATAGAGTTTAATTCAGCCAGTTCCAACTAAATTGGTAATTCCCTGGGGGGGGGGGGAACAAAACAAAACAAAACTGTCATGGAAAACACAGAACACAAGTTTTTCTTTGACAGTTGGCAATAACAACTTTGTGAAAAGATGAGTGCAGTATCTCTGCCTTTTCTGAAAACCAAAAGGTTCCATATGTTCTGAAAGTCCCCTTTGTCATTTTTACTGCTTGGATTAATTTTGGAGGTCAGGACAGCAGAGGTCTGTGCTCTCTGATGTGAGCTAATATCAGATGCCCACGCTGAAATGTTTTACACATGAAGAAGCATCTGTAAAGGAAAACCCGGAGCTTCTTGGCATGATTCAAATTAGCCCATAAACCTGAAGAACCAAAAAAAAAAAAACCAAAAAAACCCACCTTGTTATTATTTTGAAGAACATGAGCCCATCTTTCCCAGCAGCCTGACTTGGGCTTAAAAGAGAAGCAAGCAGAAACAATCCACCAAGAGCACGCAGCCAGCCGTGATGGCAGAGCTGGCTGGACAGCACGGCTGAGTTTTTCTTAGCACTGAAATACTTTTTCCAAACCAATACCAAAAAAGGTTTGTTTCTAGGTCAAGACCTCAGCACTAAATTTTAACCAGGAGTTGACAGTCAAGTTTTAACACAGCCGTAAAATGGATTCACAGTAGAAGCTCAGGCATTCTTTTTCTAATTAGAAAACAGTCCCTGAGCCTCGCGCATTTAAAGGTGAAAGCTATTTTTGACATAAAAGTTAGCACGTAGTTCCTGTGTCACCCTTCAGTTGCTGTTCTGGAAGCTGTGAGTGAGAGATCAAGGATAAGCAGCAAGTATAAACATGATGCATTAAATAACGGGTAGAAAGGGACTTAGTTTAAGTTTTCCTCGGCCTGACAATAACGCGAGGAGATGATTCATTTTTACACTTACTATTTCTCCTAAGCAGCACTGCTTAGAAGGTCCACATAAGCACGAGGAAAGAAACAGGTCTGAAAGACGTTCACAAACATGAAGTGCTTTTAATAGCTGCCTTCTGAAACACTGTTAAATCTGACTGTGAGATGGGCAGTCTAAGGCACCGAGGAAGCAAGGCAGTTTGCAGGAGGACTCTGCACTGAACAACTGTGGCCCGCCCCTCAAGCACTCAGCTCCCATGTGGGGATCCTGGGCAGCAGGGTTAAAAACAAACAGAATACGCGATGCTTTCAGAGACCTGGCTGTTCTTTAAATGCCAATTTTCCTTCTTGGTGGGAATCTGACAGCTCTGACTGTCTTCAGCAGTTTTCAAAATACGTCTCGGTGACCATTTCTAAAATAAAAGTCAGCCAAGAGCGAACAGAAATACAAAGGCTTATGGGCACCGTTAATGCCACGCACTGATCCCCAGGAGGCCCTGCCCCTTTATGTAACATGGATTGTTTCAGCTAAAACAGCTTATTGCTCTTTGGTGATTTTTCTTTAAACACAGACATTAGATACCTCCTTCTGACTGAGACCCTTCTTCTGGCCCTTGTTGTGAGGGGAAAAACGCAATGGGAAACACAATTTAATTGCGCTAAGAGAATAACACATGCATTTTTCTCTCTTGCCTGTGATCTACCTTTGAAGAAAAAACCTCACCAATTTACATCACTCAGGTATAACTCCCCAGTGGCAGGACGCAGAAGGCCCACCCCTCATCTCTCCTCAGCCCAAACATCCCCAGACGGCTGTGGGCACTCCAAGCAAAGAAGGGATGGCCTCGGGAAGGCCACTGGCACGGCCTGACGGCAGCTTTGGCAGCCGTGCTGCAGTACTTACTTCCTGCTGGCCCGCCTCCCCGGAAGCATCCAGCCAGCACCAAAGCATCACCGCAGCTCTCCGTGCACAGAGGTGAGTTTTCGTGTCACTGAGCTGACTGCTCTGCCCTTCGCAGCACAAATCCTTCCAAAGCAAAATTCAGCTTTGTAAAACTACCGGTCAGTGCTAAGCCGTCCCCCTAACGCCGAACGCTTATAAAAACGTCAGGAGAAAAAAAAAAAATCAGAACCTTTTTGAACCACTTGCAATTGGAGACCCGAATGGACTTGATGTGAAAACCAACTCAAACCTACAGAAGCGATCTGCTTCCTTGGGCGCTGGACAAGATCCAGCTTAAAAGTTTCCGTGAAATAAACTAGGCTAAGCACATCGGCTGCACAGAAACACTCGGTGTAACGGGAGCATCTGTTCTTCACATCTACGGTTTGCCGAGAGCCTCCATTTCCCACGGCTGAGGGGACACGAGTTGCCACACCAATCGCTGGCGCTGCTGTGGCCACGCGTGCCTCCCACCTGCAGCCGGCCTCGCTGCCGTCGGCGCTGCGGACGAACCATTCCCACAAGGCAGCGTGCACAGGGCACAAACTACTCGACCAGGCAGCCTCGGGTTGTCAGAAAACAGCTTAACGTATTTCGTATGATGGCATTACAAGTGAAATTAATGTCTGCGTTGAGACAGCTGAGGAGCACACCTCGGAACCATTTATGCACAGTACAAAGCAAATGTTTACCCAAGTACAAATGAAACAGGTTGACAATTAGCTAATGCAGCTTTGTGGACACAAACCAGGTACATTTGAGCAGAACCAACATAAAATAGAAAGGAAGCAGCCCTTTTCCTATCCAGTGCTAAGAGCACCACGGTGAGTGGTCAGGGAAGTCTCTGGTACATTGAAAAATTTCCGTGCCAGTGTTTAATGTGTTTATTCTACTGCTACTCTGCCGGGATAAAAATAACACCAGCAGGGCACGCTGGCGGGACGATGGATCCCCTGTCAATACTACAGTAATTGACAACATACAATTAAGTCTCACACCTGTTTATTGTAAGTAATTCATAGATAACCACTTCTCGTACACATTTTCACATTGGCTTTTAATGCTTTTGTTTTTCAAGCTCAGGGACACCCAAACTTCATCTAAGGGTCATCTCTGCAGTTTACCCAGATCCAGAATGCCATACCT